AGACCTCCAATTATTCAATAGCTCCTTTGTTGTAACCACATTCCCCACTCTCTCAGTCTGGAGAAAGGAGGGTTTTCAAATTCCTAAGGAAAGGAAATAAAGGAAGGTATTGGACAGTGGGGAAAGAAAAATCTGTTTGTATTGAGCCCTCCCTCAGTTAAGTCCTGGGTGGTTTCCACAAGAATTAGGCAGCCTAGAAGCCACCCTACCAAGCGTGTCCCTCCACTGAATTATCGCATCTGGGGCTGGTAAGGATTGGGAACCAGCTGCACCAGAGTGAGTAGCCAGGGCCTGGCAGAGATGAGTCACAAATGTTGACATCTCAGCATAAGTCATTGCTGCAGCAACAATAAAGAAGCAAGAGGGTGAAACTGCCTTTGTATGATGACTCCTACCGAACAAAGCACATTCTTCGGGATAAAAAGCTGGAGAACAAAGCACATGACAAAGCAAGGTATGGGTCCAAACAAGCCAGCTCAGTTTTAATCTCTTTTTTACTCTGCTTTGAGACACAAAGTTCATGGGGCTGCAGTTTCAATCAAAGCAATTTTGGATGATGGGTGACGCGTGCACCAACGCATAATGTGTACAAGTGCCCCAAGTGACAGGGGAGGTGTGTAAGCCCCTGCACTAGGGAGGGGAAGTGGGTAGGATTCCCTGATTCCCTTGTGTGCCCTTGGGCAGGATTTTTAAATTCCCTGTGCTTTGAAACCCCTAATTTGCAAAACCAGGAGAGTGAATCTCCTTCCCTCCCAATCAGAGCCTGTACAATAAACTTGTTGGAGCTTCTTGCGTGGTTTGTGCCATTCCTAGCACAATGCAATCCTGGCCTCAATATTTTACCTTTAAACCACTATTAACAGACAATAATACCTCTTCTTCCTGGGACTGGCCTGGCTTTTCCTGACACCAAGGTGCATTAAGTCTGTTTAATTTCATGGATTAGAAGCAGAATCAAATCTTAATCTTAATAAAGCGATCTCAAATTGTTCTCAGCTGGGACGCCTCCTTCACATGAGGTCACCTCACCTTGTGTGACAGTTTTTCACCATTCCTCCAACACTTCCTTAAGGCTGGTTTCACTGCATATAACATTTGTCTCATAAAATAGTCATGGGAGACTGTTAACAGAATGTATATATGAAGGAATAAATTCCTTCTATATATTCTATATATAATACATGTCATGTAAAATATTATATATAACATGTAATAGAATGTATATATGAAGGAAAAAGCAGTTAATCCTTGAAAGGTTTTTTGTTTGGGTTTTTTTTTGGGGGGGGGGGGGAGGTTACATCAGGAAAAAAGTCAAAGTGGTGAATTAATTCATAGTCATCTGCATATTTGGTTCTTATTTATTCCTTAGAGAGTGCCCATGGTTCAGTGCTTTTCAGACACCCTCACAAATGAATTGAACTGGGCTAAAAATTGCAAAACTTTTAAAATTACCCCCAAGTTTTGCTTGCACTGTTGCTATTTTTTATTCTTTTTAGTTCTGACATTTTACTTGTGAACAAAACCTGAAAAGTTCTTATTAAAAATCTTTATCACTTTCCCTTCCAGTAGGGCTGTGCAGAACAGCTATATTTTGTTTCAGATTTGGCCGTTTCAGAGGACAGTGATTTGTTCTGATGTTTCAGATCACTGTTCCGTTTCAATTTGGCCAAATCTGTTTTGGAGTTTCAACACTGTTTTGGCACTGATTCGGAGATTCAGATTGGGCGGGGAGAGGCAGGCACAGCTGGGTAGCCACAGGTTCTCCCATGGCTCCTCCAGCTGTTCCTTTTCCTTCCTGGGCAGGGGGAACTGCAGGAGAAGACCCCATGGCTGCCTTGCCCAGCCCCATCTCCTGCCCAGCCCCAGCCTCCCAGCACTTAAAAAATAAAAAGCCCCACACTCACCAGCTGCAACAGCAGTGATTTGGGCCTCTGAGGGCTCATGGCAAAGCCCCTCCATGCAGCATGGGGCACTGGGGGGCAGAGGGAACACCCTCCCACTTTGCACCCATGCGGCAGCTGCCCCACTGCATGGGTACAGCACAGCTTAGCAGGCCATTGCACACTGTCTGGGAGCCGGGGCCAATGGGGCTGAGTGGTGCTGGGCTCTGGCTGACTGCTGGAGCTGCCCCAGCTCCCAGACAGTGTGCGGTGCCCTGCCGAGTCGCACTGCACCTACACCATGGGGCAGCTGCAGCACAGGTGCCAAGCAGGAGGGGAGATCCCTGCTGCCCTCCACTGTGTGGGGGGCTCTACCACAAGCCCCCAGAGGCCCTGATTGCCACTACTGCACCCAGTGAGTGCAGGGCTTTTTATTTTTTTTTTTTTAAGTGCCTGGAGGCTGGGATCAGGTTGGGGATGGAGCCAGGCAGGGCAGCCATGGGGGCTTCTCCCCTGGCTCCTCCAGCTGCACCTGCCTCTGCCTCTGCCTCTGCCCCAGCGGGGAACACCATGGGAGAAGCCCCCATGTCTGCCCTGCCCAGCCCCATCCCCTGCCCAGCCCCAGCCTCCCGGCACTTTAAAAGGAGGGCTGCGGGGCTGTGCCGGACTCTTCCTGGGGGCGCCTCTGAAACATTCGGACACATCTGAAACATTTCTGAAATATTTTGAATGGTTTCATTTACTTTTAGAGATGTTTTGAAGCCTTCTGTTTCTTTTCAGATTCAGTGTTTCTGGTGCCAAAACGGACAAACGCCTCTGAAATGAAATGGCTGCTGAAATTTCACACAGCCCTACCTGTGAGGTCTGTTCATTCCCTCTGCCAAGACACTGCAGTATAATTACCACCACTCAGATGGTATGTCTGAGCACACTAAAGTGCGCTAACTCACCCCAAACCACCTGATAGGTCAAGGTTGAAACTAGGATGAGAATCCAGGGGTATCCCAGTTTCCTCAATTCTTCTCCACACCTTGCCCTATCTTGCTCTGGAAGCTTTTTTTTCATTAGCCCTGAGATACAGGAGATGAATGCTAGAAGCTTGATAGTCAAAGCACAGATTGCTTGATCCCTCCAAAAATGGTAGTTCCTCTTTGGGTCTGAACACATTGAAGCATTCAAGCTTTGAATACAGATGGTTGACAAATAAGCCTCTGGGGACAATAGGTTTTTCTGCTGTGATTCCAGGCAGTGTTTCCTCTCAGCTGCATGGCGTGTGCAGCCTGAGCGCACCTGCATGGCCATGCATGCTGTACAGCTTAGAGGGAGCGCTGATTCCAGGCATAAGACCTTGCCTTGGTGTCGACCGTCCTAGCATTTTACTCCAGTGGAGATCTGACACTTGGCATCAGCTGAAGAGCTGCCTCAGAATATTTAAGTGCATTTAAGTCATGTAGACAAGGTTCTTTCGGTAGATGTGATATCTTTTATTAGATCAACTAAATAGTTGGAAAATTGGTTCTTCACAAGCTTTCCGGTACAAATACCATCTTCAGGCATATGGAGAGTCTGTGTGCCTGAAGAAGGGTGTTTGTACCTGAAAGCTTGCAAAGAACATTTTTTCCAACTATTTAGTTGATCTAATGAAAGATTTCACATCTAACATCTACCCAAAGAACCTTGTCTGCCCATGTCCTTAGACCAACATGGCTACAACCAAGAAATTTAAGTCATGTATAAACCTTCTGACCCCAGTTTGCTCAGTGCTGGAAAAATTCCACAGTTCCCAAGCCAGTCATGGCTTTGATGTCAGTGTCTACTGTCAAATCAGAAAGGAAATTGCACTGATTAAGTCACCCGTGGGAGTGAGACATCCCATCTAAAATCCAGTTGCCCCACCTGTGAATTGATAAACGAGATTGCAAGAGAGGAAGCTGCCCCACAACTCAGACCTACCACCCACATCACCCACTCCAGGACTTGCAAACGGCAATACCACTATCGTATTGCTGGAGGCAAAATCCCATTCTGTGTAGGAGGCCTGGCCTGAGGAACTGGCAGGGAAAAGAATTCTCCTTCTGCAAAAACCCAATGAAAAGAACCAACATTTCCTCTTTTTACCATTTTTGTCTTGAAATATTCATTTTGATGAAAAATGCTCTAATAATTAATGTCTCAGGATGATTTCCATTTTTCAGAGAAACTGTTTCAATCCAAAAAAACCTGTCAGTAGAGATATGCTCTGCTGTGTGACATCCAAATCCACCTCCATTTCATTCCCAATATGTTTTTCAAAGCCCCAAACCAGTGGCCTAACTTGTTATCATCATGATAAGCTTCATATGTTACTGCCAGGTCCTGTACTCTCCATATCAGAGAGAAATTCTGCTCCCATTCTTGTCAATATTATAGCGCCAGAATATTTTGCTTTTGTATGGGAACTTCCATGAAACATAGTCAAGTCAACACAGAGCTGAATTCAGTGACATCTATTTAGATTCCTCAACAAAAGAATGCAATATGATCTATTATGTTGCTATCAGCCACTCATTTAACTTATACATGCCATTCTTCTAGATAGACAAATTTAATTGGATAAAGCAGCTTATCTTTGGAAGGCCAAGGACCGGATTTCCTTTTACCTATAATTATTGCAAAATCACATCAATGGATTCTTCAGCAAAAAGCCACGTAAGTGGCCTTTGAAGCATGTTTCTGAAAAATTGATCTCACTCCATAGTCAGTGTAGGATCCTTCTCCAACATCAACAGCTCCATCAAGCTTCAGTGAAACCATTTCAGCTTACATCAGTGAGACCCTAACTTTGCTGGAGCTGTGCTGGGGTGGTGATTCTCAACCACTTAAAAATGTCTTTTGCTAAAGCTTGCCCTTTTGCATTACTCAGGAAGGGGATTAAAGAGTAAATCATATGCAAAATGGTATCAGGGGAGGGAATTTCCTACCAGTGCCAAAAATGGGAACAGGTCAATAGAGGAAAGAGATATGTTTGGTGGTTATGAAAGAGTGAGATCATCAATCATATGAACGTCTCATTCCCAGGAGGTGGAGCTTGGAAAACATATATAAATGTTCTCACACCTCAATGCTACACCATCAGCTCGAGCTCTTGCTGCTCCTATTTGCTGACCGGTTGGGTAAGTCAGACTATACTCAAATGTTTTTGTTGTAGCTGTAGCTCTTGTGCTAGTGTTAATATGGGTTGATGCACTGAAGAAGTGTTCTATCTATTTAGAAACAGATGTAGAGCCTCAATACAAGTAGAGATTTTATTTTAAACCTATTTACAAGTACCAGTGCTACACAGGGGAGGGATTGAATGTGTCCATGGTGTAGCAAACATCATGTATGCCAGACAAGCCACAACTAGTGACTAACTTGGCTCTAGATGTTAAAATATCTGGGGCCAGCGCTAAGAAGGGGACGCCATGGTTCTGGGAGCTGTTCAAACAGAGCAAAAGGTTAATTAATTCCTGCCCTAAAGAGCTTATTGTCAGGCAACTGAGGGAGAAATATTAGAAGACAGTCCTGGATAGCATGGTAAGTAGTTATGTGAGCCAGTTTGCTGCAGGCAGCATGACAAAACTGAATTTTAAGAAGGAGGTTGAATGGAAAGAATAAAGTAGCTTTGGAGATGTTGATAGAGGGGGACATCAGCAAAAAACCCTCATAGTGTGAAACCTCTTTGGCATGTTCAGGTTGCCCTTAAACATACAACCCCATAGGATCCAGCACTGGGGAAGACCAATGGCCTATTTGAGACTGGTGCCCTACCTTCAGCCAGATAGCAGGTGCTTGGTATAGGAAACACCCTATCATCCTTCTGTGTAGAGGTGCATTGTGGGACTGGGAAGTTAGATGAGAAATTCCTTCTGCTCTCATTCACATGAGCTAGGTATGTTAGAGACCATAAAACCCCATGCAAAACCAGGTGAATGGAAAACCCCAGTGATTAAGATAGCAGAGCGTCCGTCTTCGCTGCCAGCATCACTGATGTCATGTCTCTTGCTACTAATTATTCCCATAAAAGCCTGTAAATGCCAAGGGTATCATTCTCCTGTCAGGCAAAACATCATAAAGCCAGAGAGAGTGTGGATTTCTAATGCACTCGGTGTAGTTACACAGATGTAAAACCAAACCAAGAGGAGAAACAGGACCCATTTCTTGGGCACTGAGATGTTCCATGGGGTAACATGTTAGTAGTTAGCTCGGGGAGGGGGAGATTTCTCCTGGGTTTTGTTTCAGTCTGAGTTTGAAAAACCTCAAAAGAGGTAAAAATACAGAATGGGGAGAAATGCAGGGTAGGATTTCTCCCATTGAACCTAGCTGAGCTGACTCCCATTTAATTGTTCATTTGGATACATGTAAAAATCACGAGACAAAGTGGCAATAAGAAGCTTGTTCTTGCTGACGACTGTTGTTTCCAAAGGCTGCTGCATGCACCCTTAGGGCCAACTGCATTTGCATACCATGTGTAACCGCACTGTGATATTTCTTTCAGATTAGCTCGAGTTGTGCCAAGATGTCATCACACCAAATGCAGTGCAAACAGAAAACCACCTTGCCTCCTCCCTTGTGCAAAGGGCCACCGAATCAGGGTCAGGACCCAGTGCCGCTCCCAGAGCCAGTGCCACTGCCAGCTCCAATACCAGAGCCAGGACAAGGAAAAACACCAGACATTAAGATACCAGAGTGTCCACCGCAGCAACAGCAGCAATGTAAGCTGCCTCCAATCATCCCACCATGTCCCCCTCCCTGCAAGGAGCCACCAATGCCAGAGCCCATGCCATTCCCTGAGCCAGTGCCTTGCCCAGAAAAACCAGTGCCACTGCCAGCTCCACTGCCAGAGCCAGGAAAAGGGAAAACACCAGACATTAAGATACCAGAGTGTCCACCACAGCAACAGCAGCAATGCAACGAACCTCCAATAATCATCCCACCATGTCCTCCACCCTGCAAGGAGCCACCAATGCCAGAGCCCATGCCATTCCCTGAGCCAGTGCCTTGCCCAGAAAAGCCAGTGCCACTGCCAGCTCCACTGCCAGACCCAGGCCAAGGGAAAACACCAGACATTAAGATACCAGAGTGTCCACCACAGCAACAGCAGCAATGTAAGTTGCCTCCAATCATCCCACCATGCCCACCACCCTGCAAGGAGCCACCTGTACCAGAGCCCATGCCATTCCCTGAGCCAGTTCCTTGCCCAGAAAAACCAGTGCCACTGCCAGCTCCACTGCCAGCTCCAATGCCAGACCCAGGTCAAGGGAAAACACCAGACATTAAGATACCAGTGTGTCCACCACAGCAACAGCAACAATGCAAGGAACCTCCAGTAGTCATCCCACCGTGTCCTCCACCCTGCAAGGAGCCACCAGTGAAGTGCCCACCTCCCTGTCCCCCCATCCAACAGCAGCAACAGAAGCAGCCGTGCCAGTGGCCACCTCAGCAGAAGTAAGCTGCAGATAGCCACCAAAGCCTCGAAGGAAGAAGCCAATTCGGGGTACCTGTCTCCAGGGCTCAGTCCGATGGTTCATGTTACCTCATCTCTCATTTCTTGCAGTGTATAAAGGTATTTTGCAAAGTTGCCCAGCTTCCCCTGACACACTTGTTCTTCCCTTTGATAGAGCACTAGAGTTCTGTTACTAGCTAGCACAGGGTTTCTGGCTTGGAGGATGATTGTCTAGAAAAGTTACTCTGGAAAGAAACTGTGAAAAGATGCTTTAAATCTCTAACTCTGCTCACATCTCCTAAAGCCTTTCAAACGTGCAGCGCTGCAGCTGTAGATATGGGGGGAGGTGAAAATTAGGGCTGCCTAAACTGATGGCAGTCATTCAAACTTAGCATGATAATAGGTAGCTGGTGAAGAGAGACCATGGCCCGTCACATGGATTGGTATTGTCTCGTATTGCCCAGTGCTCCAGCCATCCATCAGTATTTGCCTGCTGTCTCCTGCCTTATTCTTAGATCATACATTCTCTGTGGACTGCCCATCTGTGCTGTATTCATACAGCGCTGAGCATCACAGGGCTTTAATTCATGACTGGATCCAAGGCGCTGCAGCGGCTCAATTAATTAACTATAGTTGTAATAATAGGGTAGAAAAGAAGCATGTCCAGAGATCCTGAAGCCACTGTACTCCATTTCTCCTCCAGTAAATTCCACCAGATCCTAAGTAAAGATGTGTATTACCATTAGACATTGAGTTAAGTCAATTGCCATCCAACTCCACTGAAACAATTTCTAAACCTGCAATGAGTCTTTTATCATATCAGCCTTTCCAAGATACAGAAATTACAGTTTAGGCTATGAGCAATTACATGAAAGACATGATGATTAAGCCCCAACCCATACATGGTAGAAGTGATGAATCTTCAAGAAAGTGGCTTCGCTTATTAGTTGGATGCAATAAAAGATGGAGAACGCATCATACCATAGGAGTTAAGACCGTGCTTGGTCATACTTTACTACACAATGATACTCTTATTGATTCCTGATCAGCCAGTACCTGCTGCTGCTATTGTATCTGTGATTTGTTTTTCTATTAAAATCAACAATAAAACCTATTTAAAGTATTGGTTGTGGAGGGGCCTTTATTAAAATAATTTCTACCAACTTATTCCTGAAAGTAATAGGTTTACACTAGGGTTCATTCAGCTTAGGGCCAACAGGACCTGTCCTTGCACAGAGTGTAGCCCATAGTTTTTCAACCAGTCTCATCTCAACAGAGGTCTACGAGTCATAGCTTAGCCCTGTCTTCACATTTTCTTTGTGTGAACAAAACCTTTGGAACCAGAGGAGTTTAGTAAATAGGATACCACATTGTAAGATCTGGGTCTTATCCCTGGCTCTGCCAATGACTTCCCATAGAGTATACACCAAGTCACTTCCCCTCAGTTTCCTTGCCTATAGAAAAGGAGAGACATGCCTAGATGGAAAATGTTATAGGTTTATATTTGTATTACAGTAACAGAACCCAACTGTGACTACTTCCCCACTGTATAGGACACTGGACATAGAATAAGAAACAGCTATTGGCATGGGATGTAACTTATCATGACAAAATTAAGCATTAAAAAAGGTGGAAAAGAATTATACAAAGTCATCCCTATTAGGCCTGTGCGAGTAGGCAGCTATTCGATCTGGCTTTGGATCTGGCCACTTGGGATGGCCGTGATCCAATCCGGCGCTCCGGATCGGGTTCCTGCTTCGATCCGGGCAAAGCGGCTCTGAAGCTTTGGAGCCACCTCGGAGATCCGGCCATAGGGTATAATGGGGAATCAATGAAATATCTACAATTTTGTTGTTTTTCATATTATTTGGATGAAACTCACAGGAATGGTAACTGCTACTGAAAGCATGAAGTCTGCCAAGTTTCAGGAAGATCGGTGCAGGGGCTCAAGGGGAACTGCACCCCAAATTACTGAAAGCAAAACTCATGTCACGTGTATATGTTATGCCACATGGGTGTAAAAACTATAGGGGTGGTAGCCTCTGATGAGGCCACAAAGTCTGACAAGTTTCAAGGTGATAGGTGCAGGGGTTTGGGGGGAACTGCACCTCAAGCTGCTGACAGGCAAAACTCGTGACATGGGTGACCCTGTGTGTGTTCAGGTGCAGTGGGCTGAAAACTGCAGGAGTGGTAGCCCCTACTGAGGCCACAAAGTCTGCCAAGTTTCAAGGAGATAAGTGCAGGGGTTTGGGGGAAACTGCACCTCAAGCTGCGGACAAGCAAAACTCATGACATGGGTGACCCTGTGTGTGTTAAGGCACAGCAGGGTGAAAGCTGCAGGGATGGTAGCCCCTGCTGTGGCCACGAAGCCTGCCAGCTGTCAAGGAGATCGGTGCAGGGGTTCTGGGTTCTGGGGGCTGCACATCTAGCTGCTGACAGGCAAAACTAGTGACATGGGTGTTTGTGGGATTGTGTCTGTCTTGCAGTGTGGGGTTGGAGGGGACTACTGCAGGCCTGGCTGCTAAGCTACTGTGTTATGAGTTACCAATTAATCATGATTCACTCAGGGACCAGCTCAATACACAGCACCTAGCTACTACATAACAAGTTAACGAGCATGGATTAACACCTAGAAAACCACAGACTAAGGAGAGGAAATAATCAATACAGACAATCAACTGCCCCCAAGACAGACACAGCCAATTGCACAAGCACCCATGTAATGAGTTTTGCCTGTCAGCAGCCAGAGGTGCAGAGCCCCAGAAGCCAGAACCCCCCTGCACCTATCCCCTCCACAGCTGGCAAGCTTTGTGGCCTCAGCAGGAGCCACCACCCCTGCAGTTTTCAGCCTGCTGCACCTTAACACACACAGGGTCATGAGTTTTGCCTGTTAGCAACTTGAGGTACACTTTCCCCCAAACACGTGCACCAATCTTCTTGAAACTTGGCAGGCTTTGTGGCCTCACCTGGAGCTACCACCTCTGCAGTTTTCACCCCCTTGTGGTGTAACACATAGACGTGACATGAGTTTTGCTTTCAAGAATTTGGGGTGCAGTTCTCCCCGAACCCCTGCACCAATCTTCTTGAAACATGACAGACTTTATGCTCTCAGCAGGACTATCACCCCTGCAAGTTTCATCCAAATTAGACAAAAAACAACAAAGTTATAGATATTCCATCGATTCCCCGTTATACCCTATGGCCGGATCTCCGAAGTGGCTCTGAAGATTTTTCCAAAGCACTTCGCAAGCTCCAAACCACCTTGGAAAGCCTAATGAATCCAGAGCTTTGATCCAGACATACTGCTTCAGACGCTGAAGTGTCCGAAGCTTCTCTGGATCCAAAGCATGATCCGAAGCCTCGCACAGCCCTAATCTCTATGATTCCAGATTATTTGGCTCTATAATAAACCCACCCATTTCATTCTAATTTCATAGGATTATAGCAATCTGGGGCTGGAAGGGACTTGAGGAGGTCATCTAGTCCAAAACTGCTGTTCAAGGCAGGACTATTCCTGTCTATACCAGCCTGGACAAATATTTTTCTTGCCTACATGTAAAAACTGTCAGTGACAGTAATTTGACAGCTTCTCTAGGCCACCATACTCAAAGTTACAATGTTCTTCCTAATAACCAACCTAACCATCCTTCACCTAATGCAGGAGGTATACAGTGTGGCAGAAAGGCCACCGTCTGTGTCCCTCTCCAGAAGTCTGTCTCTGCCAGTGTGAGAGGCTGGTGTTGAATTCCTCAGGGTGGGGGATCTTCCTCCTTGCCCACATGACAAAAGCCTGGTGCCTCCGATGTGGATTCTCTGGTCACCTGGGGGGGAGGGGGAGGGAAAAGCCCCGCTCGCTGGCCCAGGTAGCCAGTGATGCTTTTTCAGATTGGTTGGCTAGTGGCCAGCACTGGCAGCTTCGATTGGACCAGGCTGCTGAGGTCAGGAAGGTTATAAAAAGGCCCGGGCCAGGAAGAAGGGTAGCCATTAGCCATGCGGTCACCCAGGTGAATCTCAAACTGGCTTTCTCCTCATAACTGCATTCTCAAAGAGTGACCTGCCTCCAGAGGAAAACTCCGACCACCTCTGGATGATGCGTGTGAGTAAGCTACTCGAGACTAGATATTTAGCTTACAGTAACTCAAATGCGTGTTTAAATGGCTACCTCAGCCTTGCTGGTTTGCTCTATGGGATTCCTCTAATATTGCTCTACCTTTTACCCTGTGTTTGGCCTACCCCCTGTAATCAATAAAGTTCTCCTTTGTGACCGGTGTGGGAGACTTATTGAGGGGTGGGTCTAAATTATGCCAAGGAGGCCCCTTTGGTCTGTGGCCTAAGGGAGACTTTCCTAATAAGCCCCTGACTTGGGGAAGTGCCCCAAGTACCTGTATTGGGTCTAGTACCCATTGGATGATCAGGCCTGTGTTTTCCAAGGTGCGCAGAGCCAGAATTGAGTCCAGAGCCTTGGATGGTGGCAACGGGAACCCCAGGCTAGTGGATGTGCTCCAGGGAAGGGGTCGGCCGGACGTGAGGCACCCCAGGGAAGGCACTCGGAGCCTGGAAGGTGGTTGGCGCAGTGAGGTGGGCGGCTCAACGCAGGAGCGTCCCCTACTGGCCCACCACATACAGTCCCACTAGGGAAATGCCTTACTGGAGCTGGTTACAGGGGATGACCCAGTGGGGCATCTGCAGATACAAAGTAACTTAGGGGATAGTGACCATCAATTGATTGGATTTATTATCCAGAGAAGTGTGGGGAAGATAACCAGTAGGCAGAAGTGCTAGACTTCAGAAAGGTGAGATTCAATATGCTCAGAAGATTAGTTAGTGAAGCACTGATGATCAGGGGCATTGGTGAGATGGGAGTCCAGAAAGGGTGGCTGTTCCTAAAGGGAGACACCCTTTGGGCACAGAAGGAGACAATCTCATTGCACATGAAAGAGGGCAAAGGGGCCAAGAAACCCTCTTGGCTGAACAGGGAAATTCAGGAAAGCCTAGGGGCAAAAAAGAGGCAGACAGGCTGTGGAAGCAGAGGGTATCTACCAAAAAGGAGTATACCTCCTTGGCTCACACTTGCAGGGAGAGTTAGAAAGGCCAAAGCTGCAATGGAACTTAGGCTGGCAACAAAAATAAAGACAACAAAACGTCCTTCTACAGCTATATAGGGAGCAAAAAGAAGGTGCAGGGTAACATAAGATCCCTACAGGAAAGACTAGGGCAACTAGTGACAGATACGATGGACAAAGCTGAGCTCTTCAATGAGTTTTTTGCTTCCGTCTTCCTGAACACAGATCAAGACAAATCTCCCAATTGGATTATAGACAAGCATGGGAGGGAAACCAGTCCAATAACTGTTAGCGCTGACTTAGTGAATGGACACTTGGAGGGGCTGGATGTGTTTAAGGCAGCAGGCCCAGATGATCTTCATCCAAGGGTACTGAAGAAATTGGCCAGTGTCATAGCAGAGCCACTGGCATGGCTGTTTGAGCACTCATGGAGCTCCAGTCATGTCCCAGAGGCCTGGAAAAGGTCCAACGTGTCCCTATTTTCAAGAAGGGGAGGAAGAAAGATCTGGGTAACTATAGGCCAATTAGCCTCATGTCTATCCTTGGGAAACCCTTTGAAAAAATTATTAAGGATCACATTTGTGGGAGTCCAGCAGGGAAAATAATGCTGAAGGGCAACTAGCATGGGTTCACAGCAGGTAGATCCTGTCTGACTAACCTTATTTCTTTTTATGAGCAGGTCACAAAGTGCTTAGATGCAGGGGATGTGGTAGATGTCATCTACCTGGATTTTAAGAAAGCCTTTGATATGGTATCTCATCCTATTCTCATAAATAAACTGCACAGTTGTGATGTAGATGATTACATGGTCAGCTGCATGACAAATTGGCTAATGGGATGCACCCAGAGAGTGGTGGTGGATGGGTCGGCTCCAACCTGGAAAGATGTGGGCAGTGGAGTTCCCCAGTGGAGTTCCCCAAGGCTTGACCCTTGGACCAGGGCTATTCAATGTCTTCATCAGTGACTTGGATGAGGGCGTGAAGAGCACTCTGTCCAAATTCATAGATGACACCAAGTTATGGGGTAAAGTAAAAACACTAATGGGAAGAGAATGAATTCA